GCGGCGCGCCGCTGGGGTCCTGCAGGTCGGCGAGAAGCCTCAGTGTTCTCATCCAGGCCATTTCTGACCTGCCTTCAAATGCCCTTCCACTTTGCTCATTTCCTTGCAAGGTCTGGGGTTATGCAAGAGCTTGCCATTTTCGCAGTCGGCCTCCTTGGCAATAAAAATAAGCGGGGAGGTGGGGAAGGAGGAGAGCGGGGGAGGGGGCTTCTGCAGTAATCTAGCCCTGTCCTAGGCGCCAGGGGAGCTTACTGTGGAAAGGAAGGAACATTCCCCGCCGCAGAGAGGCTGACAACCTCGGTCCTTAGATACACAAAAACACTCCAGTGTGCTAATATTATCCAGAGCATCAAAAAGGCATGCGGGGATCAAATTTTGCATGGTGCCTGCTGAGTGTAAGGAAAGCACCAAGCCATTTCCTCTGCCCTCTAGAAGCTTATAATGTGCAGTCCTATCACAAAGCAAAGTAAGAGCATGAAACCAATAAATGGGGATACCATAAAGTATTTTTATCTCTACAGGTTCATTCATGCAGCAGGCATTTATTACGTGACTGCAGTACTGCAAAAGGTTGCAAAGGAAATGGAAGATCTGGTCCCTGCAGGTCAGGCGTTTACAATCTAATTAGGAATATAAGGCACATACACATGAAACAGGTAGAAAATAATCCCCGGGTATTACATAAGCAAGAGGACAGTGAAGGCTGGGGGCATTTTTTTTTGTAAGGGGAAAGATTTCTGTACCTGCATGCTTGCTTGGTGAGAATCAGGAGAGGAAATTCCAGGTCAATCAAGCCAGAGTGCCTATGTGTATCCTTGCTCTGTAAAACAGGTTTAGAACAGGGACCTCAGTGTCACTTGGCTGAAGCTCTGCCACTTATAAACTGTGTGACCTTGGGCATGTTTTTACCTCTGTGAAGGCAATAAAGCCTGTCTCCAGGTTTGTTGTGTGGTTCAAGTGAGATTACACTTACATGAAAGCTTCTTGAGCTGCTGTGTGAATGTTCCTCAATCTGGTACATTTGTGGAGTCCTCATTTTACCAGCCTCTTCTTGGTAACCTTTCTAGTCTTCCCTAGGCTGTAAGCTCCATGAGGGCAGGGACCAGGTTTGGTTGTGTTCACTGTGTACCATCATCATGCCTAGCAGAGTGGCACATGTGGGTGCCCAATAAAGGTTTGCTGAATAAGTGAATAAATGAACTAATGTATCCTGTTATGCTTTTAACTGTTCATTTTATCTGTTCCTTCAGTAGTGGTCTCATATGACTGGCTCAATGCAGAGCCCTCTAACTCAGCCTTCCTGGGACTAACTTGTATTCCAGGAGAGTCTCTGGGAGGATTCTAGGTAGTTCTTGTGGCCTTGTAATATAAATTGATGATTGCACATGCATGCGTATCTGTGTACAGCAGGAGGATACACAAGGATACAGCCTGTCACACAAGCCCTGTCCGCACAAGCATACAGCCCAGATACAGTCCTTTGGCTTGGACACTTTAATCCAGGATTGTTCAACCTCGGTACTATTGACATCTTTGGCTGGATAATTGCCGTAAGATGTGTCCTCTGCATTGTAAGATGTTTTGCAGCATCCTTGACCTCTATCCATTAGATGCAAATAGGATGCCTTCTCTCCACAGTTGCTACGTTTAAAAATGCCTCCAGACATGGCTAAATGTCCCTGGGGAGCAAAATTGCCCCCTGTTGAGAACCAGTGCCTTACCCCAACATCTCATCCACTGATTTAACTATGGTGGAGAAGTCACACAAGTAAAGTAACTTGAAAGAAATACATCTTCTGTTATTCCAAGATTCTTAGATCTTTTCCATCATATGTTTCTAGGAGCACGACTCTTGTTAATTAATTGCCTGCTGCATTGTGAATTGGCATCTCTTCTGTTTTCTGCGTATCCTCCTCCTTTACACCCAGATCAACATGTTCATTTCTAAAAGTCAACAGCTTTCAACAACTATTAGGAAACAGAGTCTTGAGCAACCTAAGAGTCCTGTATAATATTCTCCTATAAAATATGGAGAATTCATTCCATAAAATTTTGCAGAAAGCTTCGCTCTTATAATTAAGCCCTTAGACTTACCACTGCCTCTCTGCACTCAGATTGTAAGTAATACAGAATATAAATTGTGCTTTTTAGAAATTACTGCATTTAAAATATTTAAGGAGCTACTTTGAGTGATTTTCTTTCATCTTGAAGCCATCTCTTTTTGGTTCTAGAAAGAGTTTCCCTTTCTTAGTGATATAGAGACATAGCTTATTAAAACCTATAGAGCAAAAATCAGCTTAGTTATACATACCAGCTTCCAGAAGCAAGTTCTTTAGGAGAATATTAGGATGTTTTAGAGCTGGTGTTGATGAAAATCCTGATGGATTGATGTGCTGCAGTTCAATTACTAAAGGTTTCTTGAAGAAAAAGATTAATGGTTGAAGGAATGAACTAATTCTGATAAGTCTGTTCACTCAGTCTGGGCATGTAGAACCAACCAAAAACCCTGCTCCTGGCAGGTGACAGCACTGTGTTTACAAGGTGAGCAGACATTTTTGTTCAGCAAGACAATGTCCTCTGTCTCTTTAAATAAAGTTATTTGAAACATCGCTTTTATAGTTTTGTTCATAATTCGTTTGGGTTTTACAGTTGTGTAATGGTTACAAGCATATGGAGATTAGTTTACATCTAGTTTAGTGATTATTCACGCTTAAGTTGAGCGTTGAAGATGAGGCAGGCATCCAAACTGCTTAGAAAAAGGGCAAAGTTTGAGGGTTGGATGTGGTTTATGGGAAAGCAATTTCTGTTCTGTTAAACTGGAAATAGGACACATTCCAGGGATCCCCAAGTTCTCTATGAAATCCATGAAATTTGTGTTTTTGCTTCCATTACAATATTTTTAAAAGAAATTAATATCATGTTAAATTAATATGCATATGCTGGATCATATGAATATCATGTAGCCATGATCCCACTACCCTTTCTTGCTCTGGACCTATAAGAATATGCAGTTTATTTAAATGGTATTTTAATAAAAATAAGGCATCACTGAAGGTCTGTGAGAATTGTTTTCCTTTTAAAGGTGTCTATACATTCCTCAAGTGTGAGAAATACTGACCCGGCTGCATCATAACTATTCTTGGAGAATGGTGAATTTATTGAATGTTAATAACCTGGAATTTATTCCTAATCCTGAGGCCATAAGAAACCATTATTATATTCCAAAGACGGGAGTGACTGGATCAGAGTAGTAGTAGGGGGTGGAAGAGAAAAATCATAATCTTAAGGGTCGCTAAAAATCCTATCATGCCTGGCACCCTAGCCCCAAAAGGTAAACATTTAACCAGTCAGGACAGACATTTGTTTATCTTCCAGTTAAACTTTCCCAGGTGTACGAATGACTCATTAATTGTTCATTTCATACAAGACCTTATTGGCCATCCACCATATTCAGGGAACTGTGGGAGCTGCTCAGGGAGTCCTCAAACTGCCTACAGTTACTCCCCACTGGGAAAGTTAATCCAGACACTCTTAGCACAGCAGGTTACATGCAAACCAGTGTGCGACTCTCTCGGCCAGCCATGTGATAAAAGAGGCATTACAAAACTATTGCAGAAAGCAAAGATTATTCATTAGACAGTGTTGAGGCACTTGGAAAAAATCCTGTTAGTGCTCCCTTTCACACAATTCCTGAAAATATTTCCAGAAGGAAAAAGAGTTAAATATTTTTTAATTATAAATTAACTCAAAGCAAATATAGGTAGATACCTATCTTTAGATGGGACAAGGACTTTGAAAGTAAAAGCTATGGAAAAAATAAATACGATTGGTTGACTTGACCATGTAAAAAATTTTCCCTAATTTTTTTTTTTTCTTTTAGGAAACAAATATAAGGAGGGGAAAAGCCAAGTAGTGAAGCTACCCACAACCTATACTCAAAGGGTTAAAAATCTTTAACATATCAAAAAACCTTTATGAATCAACAAAATGCACCCTTTAATAGAAAGTTGATCAGATGTTTTGAATAGACTAAATTATTACATATGAACATTAGGAAAAAAATTTAAAATTCAAGAAGAGGGAATGCAAACAAAACTCAGATAAAATATTTCTGACGTGTCAGCAAATGAACATATCCTCTCTTATTAAGATTGACTTTATAAAGGACACTCAGTTGTTGTGGAGAGTGTAAATGGGAAAACAATTTCTTGAAGATAATTAGGTGACAATATATCAAACCCCTTAAAAATATGTATACCCTTTGACACTTTAATCCCATTTCAGGAATTTATGCTACGAAAATAATCATCAATTACTCAAAGATTTGTATAAATTGATAATCATCTAGTAATTTTGGAAATGCCAGCAATAAAGCATAAGCTGAAAAAAATAGAATATAAAAGTAATATTCTAATTCAATAACCCTTATAAACACATGAATTCCACACACTCACATATACACTAAGATGAAAAACTAGAAGAAAATATTCCAGGATGTACAGCAGTTATTTTTGGATCATGGATATGGTTGACTTTTATTTTCTTTTTTACACAGGTCTGTGTGTTCCAACTTATCTGTAACATATTACTTTTATAAGCAGAAATAAAAAACATTATAAAAGTAGAAAGGCAGGGTGCCTGGCTGGCTCAGACGGTAGAGTAGGCAACTCTTAAAAATTATTTAATTAATTAATTAATATAAAAGTAGAAATGCACATATTTAAAAGGGTCTGACAATCATGAAACAAAACCTAGCTGGTGAAGATTGCATGTGAATTTATACTTGTGAAGTGGGTGGTAGGGTGTAGAAAAAGGAATTCAGATTTAGCATTTTTGTGCTCTTGCAGGTAGGTCCATTTCTTTCAGATAATCATTTCCTGGAGGGCTCACAGCCTTATCTTTTTGCCTGCATCTCAGTCTGTGACCCATTTCCTTAAAACCTTGAGGGTTAGATGCTCATCAGGACTGTCCATGGTCTTGCTCACATTCTAAAGCTGCTTGAGTTTCTAATTTACTTAACTGTGGTTAATTTAGCTTCATTGTGGAGATGTGGATTTAAAAAGCTAGTCCTGTGGATGAATGCCCTCAGGACTATCAAATTAATTTCTTCCTCAAATTAAACAAATATATTTCAAATATAACTGTGTGGGTCTTGGTAGAATCCAACATCGCAGAGGCTTTTCCTTTTTAGGGAACATTCTTTTGCCTGATTGGTCCCTCAGAGCACTGGCATCATGAAGACATTTTCATGGATAAGAAATCAAATTAATTTTCCAAGTCCTAGTGTAGCCCCACTCTATCAATATCTAAAATCTAAAGGCTTCCTTTTTATTAACCTACTTTTGTTTAATGAAACTCCAGAGATCAGCTGCTAAGGTTAATTACATATAGCAGAGAACTAGCTGTGTGACCTTAGGCAGGTAACTTCAGATTGTAGAGCCTAGCTTCTCCTCAGGTGTAATAAAGTAAGGGGTGGGTTGCATCTTGGAAGTCTCTTCGTTTTGAAATTCTGCGACTTGAGTTGGAATTCCTAAAGAAGCTTATTATCTGGAGTTGCCGATGCTGCATTTGACACTCCTGGGGGTGGGGAGCTTAAGACTTCTA